TTTGCTTCGCTTTCTAGAAATGTCATTTAGGAAAATGTGGTTTAGAACAATCTTTTTGCCCTCCACTTATTCTCTCAGTTACCAAGAGGCATGTGTAAAATATCTGTATTAGTTTCCCAGGGCTGCTGTAACAAATTACCACAAACTTGGTGGCTTCAAAGAAGAGAAATTTATTCTCTTAAAGTTTGGAGGCCAGAAATCCAGTTAAGATGTCAATAGGATTGGTTCCATCTGCAAGCTGGTTTGTGCCTCTCTCCAGACTTCCTTCCAGTGGCTGCTGGCGGTCTTCAATGTTCTTTGGCTCATAGATGCATCATTTCCTTCTCGGCCTCCATCTTCTCATCACCTTCTCCACTGTGTGTTTCCTTTGCTCTTCTGTCTCATATGAAGACACTGGACATGGATTCAGAGGCCACCCTGGCAATCCAGGATGGTCACAACTCAAGATCATTAACTTGATTGTATCTACAAAGACTCTCCAAATTGGGTCACATTCACTGGTTTCAGAGATTAGGACACAGATATTTTTTAAGGAGGACAGTGGTTATTCAACCCATTACAATCCCAAACTATGACTATGAATTTGCCTGTCTTTCCTCTTTGTTCTAGCAATCTTTACTTTATGTATTTTAAACATGTTATTAAATGCATGAAATTTTTGGTTTATTCTTTCTGCTGAATTGACTATTTTATCATAATGAAATGTCTCTCTTTACCTCTCATAATACTTCTTGCCTTAAAATCTACTTTGTACATTAACACAGCTATATAAACTTTTTTTCTTGTTTTTGTATTATGTGTGTTTTAAATCTTTTGCTTTCAGCCCTTCTTTGTCTTATATTTAAAACTTCTCTCTTATAAATATCACATAGTAAGGTTTTGTTGTTTTATTCAGTCTTTCTTAGTTGTTCATTGGTGTGTCTGGAACATTTAAATTTAATAATAAAAATTTAAAATAAATAAATAAATTTAATCTAGTAACTGATAAGTCTAACTCTTGATTATTTGTTTTCTATTTGTTTCATGTGTTTGTTCCTTTATTCCTCATTTCTCACATTTTTTAATTTATCCAGTATTTTTATTATTCTATTTTCCCCAGTAGCTTTTAAGTTATTCTTAAATGACTACTCTAGAGATAGACATCCTTGATTTACTATAGTCTACTAAAATTGTGCTTTTACCACTCTCCAAACAATGCAAGTACCCAAACTATTAATATTTAATTCCATTTGTCTTCCCCTCTTTTTGTATTGTTGTCATACATTTTGCAAAAAGAAAAGCTTCAGCTGAATTAAATTTAAAAGAGTTTAATTGAGCAATGGACGATTAGCAAATCAGGCAGCCTCCTGAGCCAGAGTAGGCCAGAAACTCCAGTCCAGCTGCATGGTAGAAGAGGATTTATGAACAGAAAAAGAAAGTGATGTACAGAAAACAGAAGTGAGATACTGTGACAGCCGGATTGGTTATAGCTCAGCGTTTGCCTTATTTGAAGACAGTTCAAACAGTTGGCCACATTTGATTGGCCAAAACTCGGTGATTGGCATAAGAGTAGTCTACGGTCTGTTTACATCTTCACTTATTATAGTTCGCAGTGTACAGAGAAACCTTGAGGCTGAGCTTAAACTATGTAAGGCTTTAGGCTACATTTGATTTAACAAATTACATATATTCTGTATTTCAAAGACACTATATTTCAAAATAAATAAAAACAGTATTTATTTATATTTACACCGTAGTGAATTCTTAGAATTTTCACGTTACCTCAGCATCCATTTAGAATATGTTTACCTTTCTCATGCCAGAAGCAGAGCTTAGTCACCCTTATTGCCCTTTCTAGTTCTGTACCTCCTCCCAGTTTTCAATGTGGTCGAGCCAGATATCTGCCTTATACAACTGCCTCCTGGTGACCACCTCTCTATGGGACAGCTAGATAAAACCTACTTGACTCACATCCCTGACCTCTGTGCCCTGTGTGGACTTCGCAGATATGCCGCCATGACCACCTCTCAGTCGCAGCATGCCTTCCTGGAACATGTGCCTGCTTTCTTTAAACTCACCAGTTAGAACTCCCCATGGGAGATGTCTGCTGGGTCATACTCTGGTCCCCAGTAAAGGCGTTGACCGATGAGTCCCCTTCTCTCTCTCTCTCTCTCCATTCCTCGCACTGACCAACCTTTGTGTGATCTTCAGGCGTGCCGTGCACCCCCAGCCCATAATAAAATATTTACTTGCATCTTGTGTTTCTTCTAATCATTGAAGAGGTTTTCTCTATCACAAAGATCCTAAATGAAAACATACCCACATATGAGCTCTTTCTGGTGTGTTTCCTTCTTATTGCAATTCTATCCATTCTATATGAAACTATTTTCCTTCAGCCTGAAAAAGTCTCTGGCATTTTTGTATTGTAGATCTTCTGAAAACAAATTCTTTAAACATTTTTCTAATTGTGGTTCCTTTGAAGGTTATTGTCCATGTTTCCTGGCTTCTTTTAAAACGGATTACACTTTAAAATAGATTTTTTACAATATTACTGTGTTGTGTCTAGGTAAGAATTTCTTTGTATTGCTTGGGTTTGCATAGTTGGTTTTTTTGTTTGTTTGTTTGTTTTTTGACAGAATTTCACTCATCACCTGGGTTGGAGTGCAGTGGTGTGATATCTCGGCTCACTGCAACCTCAGCCTCCTGGGTTCAAGTTATCAACCCACTTCAGCCTCCCAAGTAGCTGCGATTACAGGCCTGTGCCTCCATGCCTGGCTAATTTTCATACTTTTAGTAGAGATGGAGTTTCACCATTTTGACCAGGCTGGTCTCGAACTCCTGACAGAAGGTGATGTGCCCACCTCAGCCTCCCAAACTGCTAGGATTACAGGCGTGAACCACCACGCCAGGCCTGTATAGCCTTTTGGATCTATAACTTAATGATGTCTTGCATCAGTCTTGGAAAATTCCCAGTTATTACTTCTTCAAATGTTGTTTATGCTCTGTTATCTCTCTCTTCTCATTGAGGGGCTTCAGTTAAACATGTTAGGCTTTATTCTTCTATGTAGTTAGTCTGTATTTTTTAATCTTTTTATTTATTGGTGCTTTGTTCTGAGTATTTTCTTCTGTTCTAGCTTTCAGTTCATTGATTTTCTTTCAGATTCTAACCTGCTATTAATCTCACACAAATTCTTAATTTCAACAATCATATTTTACTTTTAGAATTCTAGAGTTTTTTTATTTTCCAAATCTGCCCTCTTCGTGTTTTTTTTTTTTTTTTTTTGAGATGGGGTTTCACCAAGTTGCCCAGGCTGGCCTCGAACTCCTGAGCTCAAGTGATCCACTCTCCTCAGCCTCCCAAAGTGTTAGGATTACAGGCGTGAACCACCACACCCCACCCTGTTCTTTTTAATAGTTTCTAGTTCTTGCAGGTTTCAATTATATCCTTCAACAGATCTGTAGTTCTAATGGGTCAGTTTCTGTCATCAGTAATTGTGTGTTATTTTATCTCTCCAAGTATCTGGTTATCTTTGTGTATCAGGAATTATATATGAAAATGTGTCTGTAGAAATAATTTCAAGGCCTTAGATAACCCATCTTCTTCCAGATAGAATTTTTGTCTTGTTTCTGCAAGCATCTGGGGACATTAGCAATCTAGGACCACTCTAATTCAGTCTCAGGAACTGTGATTTTCTGGGGCCAGCCACAGTACCAGTACTTGAAGTACTAGTTCCAGTCTCTGAGACAGCAGATTTTTTTTCAGTTAACCCTGATTACCACGGCCTAGTTCTTGTGGCCTCAGAACACATCAGAAGGTATTACCAGGCTTTCCATTAGGGGTAGGCCCTGGACTTCCATCGTTGCCCCTTAACTTCATGAGACAATCAAAAGTCTGTTCAGTCTCTCAGTTGCCCAGTCCTGATACAGCTACCCATTCCTAAACAATAAGCAGCCCAGTTGCCAAGTTCAAATACCCAGCTCTCAACTGGATTTTCATCTTCTCCTAGATCATGGCCCAGGAATGCTTTACTAGTTTGTTAGCTTTCTGCTGCCTTCACAGATAAATATTTTTGATTTTTCAGTATTTCTAGCCTTTCTTGAGGGTGGATGGTTGGAGTAATATTTTATTTGAATTGTTGAGATTACTATTACTAGAAGCAGAGCCTGAAACATTTTTATTTTTAATTTTAATTAATTCATTCATGTCCAAATTTATCTGATTAAATTCACTCATTTTTAATTCCAAGTTTTTTGGGATTTGGGTTGAAGTAATTTTGTTCTAGTTTATAGCAATACAGTATACTATGTACTATTGCTACATTTTTAAATGTATTTAGGGGTTTTGGTGGACTAATATATGATCACTTTTACACAGATATCATCTTATGATATCAAACTTAGATTTGATGAAATGAGTTGGTAAGCTTCATATCTTTTATATATTGTGAAACCTTGAAATTACATTTGGAAGTATCTTTATGAATGAATTTTGGCAATTTGTATTTCCATTTATATCATTTAGATTTTCAAAATATTTAACCCCCAGTAATCTACAGTTTTATAAATAGTCTCATATATATAAAAGTATGTTTAAATTCTTTTTCCTACTGTGTATATTTGTGTTTTCTCTCATCCCTTATAATTTATCTTTCAGCAAATGTTTTTGTATTTTATTTTTCTAAAAAAGCTAACCTCAGTTAATAACAAAATGGAAATTAAGAAAGCAAATGGGAAAGAACAGGAGAAAACTGTATAAACTCCATAACACCATGATCAAAGAGCTATTTAAAATGAAAAGAATGTGGATCGAGTGAATACATGCATGCAAATACTATAGCAAATCATATAAGTAAGAAAGGCAGGACACTGAAGTTACAACTTTATAAAAATGTAACCTTTCTGTTAGCAAAGATTAAAAGCAAATAATGAACATAAAAATAGCTAAAGTTTAGTGACTCATGAGATGCTTGTCATTCATTATTTAAACTGACTGTTATTTAACTTTCTCTTCCTTTCCCCAGAAATTTCTTGTGGGCTACCACCCATCATAGACAACGGAGATTTCTTTAGTGCTAACAAAGAGTATTTTCACTATGGATCTGTGGTGACCTACCGCTGCAATCTTGGAAGCGGAGGTAGAAAGGTGTTTGAGCTCGTGGGTGAGCCCTCCATATACTGCACCAGCAATGAAGATCAAGTGGGCATCTGGAGCGGCCCAGCCCCTCAGTGCATTATACCTAACAAATGCACGCCTCCAAATGTGGAAAATGTAATATTGGTATCTGTCAACAGAAGCTTATTTTCCTTAAATGAAGTTGTGGAGTTTAGGTGTCAGCCTGGCTTTGTCATGAAAGGACCCCGCCGTGTGCAATGCCAGGCCCTGAACAAATGGGAGCCAGAGTTACCAAGCTGCTCCAGGGGTGAGTCTGATTGAGGCCTAGCAGGTCCCTGCAAATGACATGCATTGCTGTTGGATCAGGAGATTAGTATTTGTTCAGAGGGAAGGATGTGTACTGAGTAGAGTTGGGAGCAAATTTTCTAGACAGTGAACACGAAATTCAGAAGGTATGTGTACATACACATGTGCTGAAATTGAGAAGCAAAGCTCACCTGAGGCAATGGAATATGATGTTTCTTTGGGTTCTAGTAAACAGATCTGTGCGAATTACTTTTGAGTATAATTGTTGATACAAGGAATGAGTGATTCCTCTGGCCAGCACTTAGATACAGGCCACAGTTTGTGAAATGTTAACCTTAAAAAACAAGTTATTAGTAGTTACAATTGTTCTAGGTTGTCGTGTTTTGTGTTTTTGCCTGAGATACTGTCTTGATCTTTCACTTCAGTTGGCTGCAGTGGTGCAATGATGCTTACCTTCAACCTCGCCTTCCCTGGGTCAATGCAATTCTCCTGCACTGAGTCTCCCAAGTAGCTAGGACTATTGCTGCATACCACCACGCCTAGTTAAGGATTTGTATGTTTTTTGTACAGATAGAGTCTCACCTATTTTACCCAGCTGGTCTCAAACTCCTCAAGCTCAAGCAATCTACCCAGCCTTGGCGCTCCCAAGAGTGCTGGATACAGGCCATGAGCCACCACGGCGGGTGACTGATGTTTTACATAGAACTATGTGGCCTTAGAGAGATCCAGATAACTTTTCTTTTATTATTATTATGTATGTCATTATCTATGTATTGAGTTATACTTAAGTTCTAGAGTAATGTGCATAACGTACAGGTTTGTTACATAGTATACTTGTTTGATGTTTGTGTGCTGCACCATCAACTCGGTCCAGCTAACCCATCAACTCGTCATTTATCATCAGGTATGAGCTCCAGAAGCAAATCCCTCCCCCTCGCCCCCCCCATGAATAGGCCCCAGTGGTGATGTTCCCCTTCCTGATTCCAAGTGATCGTCATCTTCAGTTCCCACCCTATGAGGAGAACATCCACGTCAGTGTTTGGTTTTCTGTTCTTGTGATAGTTTGCTGAGAATGAGTGTTCCAGCTGTTATCCAATGTCCCCACAAAGGAGCACGAAACTCTTCCTTTTTATGGCTGCATAGTATTCCATGTGTGTATATGTGCCAAATTTTCTTAATCCAGTCCTGTCACTGATGGACATTTGGTTGATTCCACAGTCTTGCTATTGTGAATAGGCCGCAATAACCATACGTGTGCATGTGTCTTTATAGCCAGCATGATTTATAATTCCTTTGGGTAGATATACCCAGTAATGGGATGGCTGGTCATTATATACTTCTAGATCTAGATCCTGGGAATCGCGATACTGTTTTTCCACAATGGTTGAACCTAGTTTACAAGCCCACCAAGAAGTGTAAAGGTTCCATTTCTCCACATCCTCTCCAGCACCTGTTTGTTTCCATGTACTTTGTTAATGATTCATTCCATGTCTAACTGGTGGTGAGATGGCTATCTCATTGTGTTTTGATTTGCATTTCTCTGAATGCCAGTGATCGGTGAGCATTTTTTCATGTGTCTGTTGGCTTGTATGCATGTCTTCTTTTGAGAAAGTCTGTTCCATATCTGCTTGCCCCCACTTTTATGAATGGAGCCTGTTTGTTTCTTTTTTCTTGTTAAATTTGTTTGGAGTTCCTCTGTAGTTCTGGGTATAGCCTTTGTCTTGATGAGCTAGGACAACTTTCCTAAGATACTAAACTGCAGACAAAACTGGAATGCAAGCCGCGCTCACTCCAAGTGTTGGCTTTTGCTAGCAGGCAGTCCGCAGTCGATGCAATCAAACCTTCTCTAGATTACTTTCGCAGGAGGGAGGGATTCATGCAGGTTGTATTTTTGTCTGTTCTCACCATTTGCTATAAGAACTACTGAGCTGGGGCAATCTATAAAGAAAAGAGTTAATTTGACTCAGAGTCTCTGCTAGCTGTACAGGAGGCATGGCTAGTTGATGCTCAGGAAAGTACAATGCATCGGTGGAGCAAAGAGGAAAGCACTGCAGTATTCCTTTCATATGTTGGCCCAGTCGGAGACGAGAGGACAGCAAAAAAGGGGGGGGGTTAGGATGTTATGAGGGGTGCTTTAGCATGACACATATATATTAAAAACAAAAAGAGGGATCTGCGGAGGGGGAGAAAGTCGGGGAGTATTCACAGGAGACAGCCAGGGTAGGGTGGTTTGAAGATTGGTGCTAGAAAACCATGTGAGGGAGAGCGGCGGACCTCCATAAATCCAGTCACTTCGCACCAGGGCGTCCTCCAAACGAGAGGAATTACAGTTTGACATGAGATTGTTGGCGTGACGGACACAGAGGCTGAAGACCATATTCACAGCTGAATAGGGTGCCACAAAGATGTTAGGAGAAGGGCCCATGGAAAGCAGGAGAGGCGGAGAGGGGTGAGGAGGTACCAGAGGATCAGTGAGGCTGCCCGGTGTGTCTCTCGC